CTACTTCCCCCTCCCCCGCCTTTCACCCTTACTAGGGCAAAAAGTACCTAATTAAAATGTTGCTGTGGCCTTTATCTGAGTTCCTTACAATCACTAATGTAATTATCTGCACAACACTCACTCTGAGGTAGGAAAGTATTATTAATTCCATTTTATGGATATGGAAACTGAGGCACAAAGAGATTAGGTGACCTGCTTGAAGTCCAGAAGGAAGGTGGTGGTGGATGGGGGGTACTACCAGGGCTGCCGAGTCCTTGCTTACTGCTTTAACCACAAGATCATCCTTTCTTTGGAGTGGATTTTGCTTCAGATAAACTATTCTCTTTTCCTGCTTGTGTCTCGTGTAAAAGTTGGGGATGCTTTAGCATATTAGTTTTTTCCATTCAACAATGCATCTCGTACATGGATTTTGCAGGGAATGGTCCTAGCAGGACTAGAAGCAGGGATGTTTCCCAGGCCAATGCTCCAGCAATAAAGTTAAAGAACAAGTGACTTTAACGTCCTCCAACTGAATTTTAGGGCATTCTTCCTTCTTTCTAATTTGTTCCAGTCGTATATACTGTACTGGACACATGCCTGGACTAAGCACTGGTCACTGCTTCGTAGCTGACATCTTTGCGCCTGGATGAGCCAAGATGTTCACACACACATATACAAGAGAGGAGACAGCAGAAGAACCACTAAAAATAACTTGGCTAATGGCACAGGCATCATAGCTGGCTCAAGGATGTTACAGTCACTCCAAAGACATTTCCTGGGGATGAGCGATTGCACCCAAAACCACTTAGGAGCGAGTCTTCCGGCATATGTCTTGCTTTGGGCATACAGCTAGCAAAATTTGAGATGCCATCTCTTTAAAATTGGGTACTTATGAACAGTGGGGAACTCCCCTGACAGGACAGCATGGAACAGGATGAGGGCAGGAGGGGTTATACCATTGGCAGCGCCACTATGGTTTTGGCTCTGGGAACGTTGTCACTGCTTATTGGTGTTCCCAGAAGAGTCACTTTTGGAAAAGGTGGGGTGTGATGGGACATACCCCCATCCCACTCAGGAAAAGGCTAGCAAGCTCTTCAGGGCTCAGCTGGTACTAAATAAGCACAGCTGCAGAACCCGGTCTGCTTGGGAGAAGTAAATTTAAAAGGAAGAGTTTGTCACAGGACGGGGCGGCAACCAGGAGGAGGGCTGCTGTGTCCCAGAGTTTGCTGACTCTTGCAACACAGCCGCTGGGCGGAAGACAGCTTGCAAAGCTCTGCTGGCCACAAGGATCCACCAGGCTGGTATGAGCCCATTACAGCAGGGAGGGGTTGGAGATAAGTCCTCACCCAGCGTCTAGCCATACTCCACCTTCATAAACAAACCAGATCACTGCAGACTCTTTTGAAACACTCAGAGACCAAGTGCCCCCATAACCAGAAGGACTTTGGAGGGGAAACAGTCTCTGAAAATGCCCAGACAGCCTCAAAAGACCCCAGCCTAACCCCCGGGGGAAAAATGAAAGCTACAAATCGAGTTTGGTAATTTTCATACTGAGTGGCCTGCTTAATGTAGTTTTCTTTTTGAGTAGTCACCCCATGCCTCTCTCATCCCCTGTGCTCCAACCCTGCCCTCATGCATGTGGATGAGGTTGACCGACGTGGCTCCCAGAGTTAAACTGCAGTTCTAATAAACCCCTGACTGTCTCACCTACCCGTTAATAAAGGGCCCCATCTAAGGAGAGGTCTCCTTGAGTAACAACTGAATCAGAGGCTTCAGGCTCCCTGACGTCACTGTCCTGAAATAAATTCATGGGAATTACGTGTGGGCATCAGGGGAAGGAGGGAATCCTGCTCTTCTATGTGCTTTGGGGTCACCATTAGCTGTAACGTGAGTGAGTAAATTCCGGCTTTAGAGTGTTGCCAAAATAGCTAATCTACTGGTAAAGGAGAGAAGGTGACTGGGCTTATTGACCCTCCGCTCGCCCTGGCTCGAGTCTAAATCATAGCCCAGACCGAGGCCTCAGCCTTTGGGTGCCCAGCCTGGGATACCTGGGACACCTTCAAGAGGCCTGAATTTTCAGAGGGGAGCTGCACAGCGGTTTGGGAGAATCAGCCTCTTGGCTGTGCCTCAAGTTGGAGAGCCAGGATCTCACCAGCCCCGTTGGAGAATCCCGGCCATCACTTCTAGCTGCTGTTGCTTTTATTCAGGTTGGGGCTCCAGGGACCCACCACAAGGATTCTACCATCAATGTATGTGTGTGGGGGGGGGAGGGTAACACTCAGTGAAATCAGTGGGGACCCGAGGGAAAAACTAGGCCCAAGGGTTAGTGTGAGGGGCAAAAGGAGAGTGAGAGACCCACGGCCTGGCTCATGCCTACCAAATAGGAGCTTAGCCCATGCCGTCAGTCTGCTGGGATAAATACTGCACTTGCAGCCAGCTCTGGACTTCCCCTCTCTCGCCACATCCTCCATGGTAGCAACGGTGGTTTAATTGGCACATTCGGCACTTCTACTTCAGCAAACTGCATGTCGTTAAACATTAATAGCATGTCGCAACCTCTGGCAGACAGAGCCAAGGCTGGGGATATAGGGCTCTGTCTTTTCTTCTCATGCCTTCATTCGTTCTCTCCCTCACCACCACCACCACCCCCCGTATCTCTCTGCCCTGCTCTACACGTCAGAGTTTTGCAGGCATATCTACATGGATCAGGGGCGTGAAGAGGTGTGATTTCCAACGGACAGAGCTGTACCACCAGAAGCCCCGAGTGTGGACACAGTTCTACTAGCAACGCTTTGCTTTTACCGGTATTGCTTCTTTCACACCGGGGTGGGGATGGAATGAACTATACCAGCAAAAGCTTTGCGGGTAAAGCTGTGTCTACACTAGGAGCGCTTTGCCGGTACAGTATACTGGATTAGCTATACCAGCAAAGCACTCCTAGTGTAGACTGGGCTTACAGCCCTATCTCTCTCACACGCACACCCTTCTCTGACACACACTCAGGTTTGGTACAGTCCTCCTGCTGTTGGGTTTCTATATCACTGGTCGACTTTGCTCTCAGACGCTAACGCGCCCAGAAAGCCTGGGTGTATTTTTACCTCTTCCCCTGTGTCATTTCCCATTAGGAAACGTGATCTCCCTACCCGCTTCCCAGATAACGAAATGGACTCGCTGCAGCTTTGCCTCCAATCGCATACAATCAGCTTGTGTCCCAAAAGCACGCGTCATCCCTCATGCACAGTGACAGGGACAATGGGGGATAAAACTGGGTCACTCCAGCACCGACACCCTGAAGCCTCCTTTGGTCTGAAGCGCTCTCGTCTCCTACTGAGTCACATACTGCATGGCTGGCTCAGGGCCACAGAGTGAGAACCACCTTTCTCCTCTGCAAGGCTCATAAATCTTGTGCCTGGGCGTTCACAGGACAGATTCTCCCACCCCAGGTGCTCTGGTTTCGAGACGCATTGAAGTCCAGAATCAGCCTTTATCTGGCCACTTTCTTCCTTTAATCTATTGTGGCATTAATATACTCCAGTTTATCCTTAACCCCGAAGCTGCTCACAACCCGGAAGACTGTGTTCACAGTGGATTGCTCATTCCAACGAGTCCTTTGGTTCCAATCCACCTGTGGCTCACACCCCCTGGAATATTGCTTTGGGTTCTGGCTTCACACGGACGTATCAAGCCAATGCAAAACTCCAAAGCAGGAGCAGCAAGGTGACTTTCAAGCCACTCCTGCTGGTAGGGCAGAGATCAATGCTGAGTGGCTTCCAAGAGGATCCTGGCCTCCCTCTGCCCCCCAGTCTGGATTACATGCAGGCTATGCAAGTGAGGCATTCACGGTGAACATGCTGAGTATTGGAGTTCTTCAGGGCCCCATCTAGTCCTGCCCTGGCCTCACACACAGCTCCCACCATAATCACCAAAGAAGAATGAATCATCCACAGTGTGGGTTTGCTTTTTCCATTTGGGGGATGAGCATTCTAACTCCTCTCCCTCTGACACTGGTTGCACGTCCCTGACACTTTGCCTGCCGTGAGTCCACAGTGCAAGTAAAGATGAGAGATGCCCTGTCCTCTCCTCTCCCCTCCCCTCCCCAACCTGCGGCTGACTGCAAAGTCTATGGCTTTCTTTCCAGTTGGCCCAGACACCAGAAGGTCGCAGCTGCCTTGAACTGTCCTCTGATTGTGTATCTCTCTCTGCCTAACTTTTAGATGCAGAGAAGATTCCTTTGGTGCCTGGGATGGGCAACATGCAGCACATTCTTCAGAGAGTGCATCCTCCTTTGGGGCCTTACCCTTCCAACAGAAGAGAGTGGGGATAGCAACCCTGCACACGTGGTACCCTTAAGGGTGCTGAAAGTCTCATCTTCACCTTGCTGGGCAGAGCATTGCCCCACATTCCCATCCAGTGTCCTGCACGTTTGGTTAAAGACAGCGGGGCAAATCCCACCTTCAGCTACACTCATGCAGCCCCATTAACCAATGCCACTCATGCACCCTATGGATCAGTGCACCCACTGCACCACCATGGATCTATGCACTCATGCCACCGCACTGACCAATGCATCCAGTGCACTACCACAGACCAATGGACATGTGTAACCTGGTGCAACCTCCCTGATCAATGCACATGTGCAAACTGGTGCAATGCACCCATGCAGACCAGTACAAACCCATTGATTAATGCACCCATGCAACCCCACTGATCACTGCACAAAGTACACAACTACTAGATGTTGCACCAGAGCAACTGAGGCAGAACTTGACTCATTAAAGAGGGAAGAACCTTGTACAACATCCCCCCAATCCCACACCCCTTCACTTTTGTAATTGCTGCCTAGTGTCCAGGGAAAGGGATTCTTAAGAGGATTCCTTCATAGACGCAGCCTTTGGCCAGTCCCATATGACTGCTGCCTGATCCAAAACCAACAGATCATTAAGGAGCATCTAGAGTGGGAGGCGAGACTATTGGGCTGGCCGCCAGCACACAAACAAAACAAGAGGGAGGTGGCACCTTACCATGTGATAGTTAATCATTTCCTGCAGGCTGTCTCCAAATTTGTCGAGGCACTCCTGTGAAAGGAGAAGAGGACAGGCAATGAATGGGGGCAGCTGACCTTCCTCCAGCACTGGCAGGCGGGGGAAGGATACTCTTTAAGCCACTGAGGAGCTCGCTCTGTCAGCTGGCAACTGTGCATTGAAATAAATGGCTGGCACTGAAGCCAGAGGCCGCCCGTCCTTTCCGGTTTAGTACTGAAACCAGCACCGCCGGGCTGTTTCTCTTGCACGATGGTTGTCCACGTTTCCCAAATCACCAATGCTCACTGACCTAGATTCCAAGGATCCTGTTTGCATTCTGGCTTCTTAAAACCATAGTGCCTCTTGCAAACAAGGATCCTATTCTTCAACCTTTGCAACGTTGCATTATCTGGGGATTCTTTCAGACACCGAGGTGAAATCTGTCTCTATGTGAGACTTCAATGATGAATAGGCCTCGGGCTGATCCTCTCTACGGGGACAAATTTCACCCAAAGGGATCAATATTCTGCACGTCTATAGCACAGCTTCCATGTAAAGATCCACCAATGCACTGGACAGACTCTCAGGGATCCCGGGGAGATTCCTGTTAAAATTCTGACCCCAGCTGGAATGAGAGTTGGCAGGATTTCCTTGCCTTTGATGGCGTTCACTGGATATCACTGCCCCTCACTGCCACAGCTGATAATAGCAGCACGTGGCTGCAAAGATCTCAGTGTGCGTTGCAGATATTATGCCTCACAACCATCTGCTCTCCACCCTTCCTTTAGTGAGACAGGTAAACTGAACCCATGTCACAGGAGGGTAAACTGAGTCACGCAGAGATCATGTGTCTTTCTTGACTGCTGAGGCAGTGGCAAAACTGGGCAAGGAACCCAAAGTCCTGATTCCTGGTCCCCTCACTTGCCTCTCTATAGAGATGTACATATATAAGTAAAAGATACTAGCATAAAGGACCTCCGATAGGAAGTCAAAAGAAGCACCATGTAGAAACCCAATGCAACACTGCATATTGCAAAGCACACACCTAGCATCACGGGCGTCTGCCTACTCCTGGGAAACATTTTTATTTGCTCAGTTTAGAGAGAATCCCCAGCAGTCCTCCTCCCATATATAGTGCCCCAGTCTCCTGTTGGGAAATTTAACCCTTTCTGATACTCGCTCCCCTTCCCCCCAAGGCAACTCACCGAAATCATTTCGTCCTTCTTGCATTGCTGCGACAGGTCTCGGACCCCGCTGACGAAGTGCTTGTTGGTGGTGATGTAGGCTTTCCCAGCCTCAATCATCCCACTGCATAGCTTCACCAGCTGCAGAGAGAGGAAGAGACGTGAGTGGGGAATGTCCTATAGGGCTGGCCAAAGAGTTTTGAAAAGAAACCTGACTTGCAAATAAAATTCACCGAGTTAGGTTCAGTCTGTTCCGCAGTGCTAATGCCGTGGTTTGAACTCATAACCTTCAGAGTTAAAACCCTGCATTGCTACTTGTTGGCCTAGCTTAGTAACTTCATTACTGCATTACTCTCGTTCAGTGGTCCCCAACCTTTTTCGTCTGGCGGGCGCCAGACGACGAGCCACGGAGGACCTTGGCGGTGGACGAGCATCCGCCGAAATTTGTCATCCATTTCGGCGGCTGCCCGTCCGCCGGCCAGTGTGTGGGTGCACTTAGACGCCCCGGTGGGCGCCATGGCGCCCGCGGGCACCACATTGGGGACCCCTGCTCTAGTTTACTGATCGGCCACTAGCGGGCGACAGACACTCTCTCTCCCAGTATGGGTTGCCGACAGACAGCCACCAGTTGTGAAATGCCATGATCCCAGAGGATTATTAGTCTGAACATGTGACTCCAAACCGAAAGAATCCACACAGGACAGAATCAGGAAGTGAGGTCAACCCGCCCCCTGCTGCCATTTAAGAAAACAGTTAGAGGCCAAAGCCTGAGCTGGGGTAAATAGGTATCACACCATTGTCTTCAGTGGATGTGCAACAGCTGAGGATCTGGCCCTGACGTTTCTAGCTCTCGTGATGGCAAAGAAAAGCTTGGGAACGTGGCCTGGGTGTAAAGCAATGCTGTCTGCCGTCAGGAGTAGCAGCGAATAGAGCCACCTGGGGCCCCACGGGGAGGGGATCAAGGCACCATGTTGGGGCCACACTGCTGCTGCCCAGGAGGGGAAGGAGAATCCTGTGGCTGCTAACACCACTGTCAGGAAGGGAGGGAGCATCCCCGCCCAGTCTCCTCTCTGCTCGGGTGGTGGCCATGGGGCAGCCCCCAGGTGAGGGCGTGGCCAAATCGCTGGATGGCCGCATGCCAGCTATCACAGGGGCTCAGGCCACAGCTCTCACCTATGCCTGGTTTGCCTCCCAGATCAGCTGATTGCAAGCTACAGCAAGACCTGCCGGGAAGGAGGGAGCCGGAGTTGCTGCCAGTTAGAGTCCTGGGCGAGGATGGTGATGTGCTGGGGCCTGAGCTAAGGTGGGGAGCGTTCCCTGCTGCAGACAGGTGCTTGGCTCAAGAGGCCAGAGGAAGGCCTCGTGGGAAGCAGGCTTTGGAGGACATGGCCCTGGGCAGCAGGAAAGCTGCTCCAAGTATTAGCATGCGAAGGCTGCAGCTTACCTAACGGAAGGCCCCAGTATGATGCTACCTAGAGAGGTGATATGGAAACCCTGCAGCTGAGGGGAAGCATTGAATGGGAAGTTGTAGCCCAGTGAGGTCTTGACCCCTGGTTGAAGGGGGGAGGAAGCCCTCTGCAACCCAGGGGGGTGGATTTAATGACTGCACAGACCCTAGCAGAGGGTTGTGCCCAAGGAGGATGAAAGGAGTTTGCACTTTCGTTGCTCTGGAAGGAGAGGATTTTTGGTCTGGCCAGATCAGACTATCAGCCTGGGGAAGACTGTCCTTGGTAGGCACAACTGCGTGCCTAATTGTGGAGCGGTGAAACGCACCTTCACACGGGCCTGGGGTGGGGCTGGCAGTGGGGAAGGAGGGGGTGAGTAGCTGAAGTGAATGGTTTGCAGCCCACTTGTGTGCTCCAAATGATTTGTTAAAACTATTCAGTGGAGATTTCTGAACTCAACTGCAGGTTTGAGAGTTGTTTTGTGGGCGATTCGCTCCGTATGTTCTCTCTGGATTTTCCTGGCCAGGCGGGGGGTTGGGTGTGGGGAAAAGGAAAGCAAGGGCAGAGGCTGTGACATTTAGCAGCCTGACAAACATTTATCTGATATAATGGATCCGAGGGCTTTGTATTTTTTTAAGCTGTGTCATATGCGTAGGGCCAACGACCAGATCCCTGTAAAATCAGAGGGACTCTAGCTAACTGTTAAACACTGTCTCAGTCGGTCCTGCAGCCCAGAGAAATAGTACCTCTGAGGACTAGAGATCTGAAGGGAATGATGGTATTCCTCACTGAGCGGCTTGTGGTGCTAGACAGCACAGTTGTTTTCACTCAGTGGATGTGGAAGGTCCTAGCTCTAGTGAGGGATGTGTTAGCAACAGTACTACACACAGGGCGTCTGATTCTCCTCTTACTGACATTACAGACTGTTACCACACCACTGAAGTTAGTCCAGACTGCCACCAGTCTGACAGCGGAGTAAGACCAACTCCTTTGTTTTAAAGATGGGTGCACAGCGACTCTTGTAACGCTCTAGAGCTTGGCGAGGCCGCTTCCCACCGCAGCCCTCTCAGGGTCCACTAATGGACTGTGATCACTAATTTAGTCACAACTGCATGGAAAGTGTCCAGAAACAAGAGACTTCCAGATACACACATGTAAGCTCCCGAGCAGCCCTAGAAACAGCCCGTCCACTGACTGCAGTGAGTCAGAACTCACAATCCCTTGGTTATCTAATTTCTCCTTTTAGAAAGGGTGGGGGAGAGCAAGGACTCAAAAATCTCTCTTCTTGATCACTATAAAACCCCTGCCCGAGGGAACCACCACACCACCCACAGTTAAGGCAGGTTTAAAAAATACTGTCTTATCCACACACTCCAAAAGAAACAAACAAAAAAATGTTTTTGTTCAAAACTTGTCACTGAATGTTTCATTTATTTTTTTGACCAAATGAAAAATGTTGGTTTTTGACAACCAAACATTTTTGGAAACTGAGTTTTTTCTAGCAATTTTTCACTGGGGGGAGAAACCAAAATCATCCATTTTAATGACTGTGAAGCCATTTTTGATAAATGTGACCAGCCCATGGGGTGAGTCGATGGCCTCCAGCTGTGTTAGCAAAGTATTATCTGAACACGATTCTCACACGCCGCCTTTCTCTCTTGTTCACGTAATCTGGCAGAACAGAACCGGGTGCTAGAGGAACATTTGTGCTATTCCATCCCACCCCAAAGAAAGAAAACAAACCGATGTAGCTCCTGTAGCATCTGGAGCCCAGACGGACACCAGGGGCTTTGGACAGATCCTTTGGAAAGGAAATCCAGCTTATTCTGCAACGTGGCGGTTTTTAAAATACCTCCTTGCACACACGGCCAAGGCTGTGTTCCTAGTAGCTGAGGGCCATTCAGCACGAGAGCACTCTGAAATCATGTTCCCTAGCTTCAGAAAGACTCCTGAAATATTAGAAGGCTTGGGCACCATTGGTAGGAAAGCAGTCTGCAACAGCTGGAGGCAAACTTGAGGTCAGAGTGAAGGCAGCAGCCGTATTTGCACAGTTTAGAAACAGCTGTTTCTACCTCTAACTGTAGAAAGCAATTAAAGACTGAGAAACCCACCAAACCACAGGAAGGGCAGAGAGTTGAGTCTTATGAGACAGATCCTGACACCCTTACTTGCACTGAATAGCACTTTATTCCACTAGTATTCCCAAGGAGGAAGGATTACCTAGTGGATAGAGCACTGGACAAGGGTTGAGAAGAACTGTGGTTAGCTCCTAGTTCAGATATAGATTTCTGGTATTACCTTGGGCAAAGGTGCTTAATTTGCCTGTGCCACTGTTCTATACAGATAAGTTGACAATAAATCCACTAAGGACAGTGAAACACTCAAACACTATGGTGATAAGGGCCATACAAACATTCCTATTTAATCTGAGCAAAACTAACAGAATTTTGCCCAGAATGAACGCTCAAAGCATAACTGCTTTGAATTTCAACGACGGCCTTCAGCTTCAAATTCCTGGCTCCAAACTCACCTTTACTTGTTTCAGTTCCAGGCTGCGTGGCCCTATTTCTGATTCTGACACAGCCACAATTTCACATGATCAGCCATGCCAGGAGATTTTGGTGCAAGCCGGTGGAAACAATGTGAAAACGAAACTGATCTCATGAGATCTGTCATTCAAAATGGAAGAAGCTTCAAGATCAGCCCATTGCTACCAACTGGAGAGGGCTCAAATTACATGAGTCCGTAGCTTTAAGACAGTCCCTGCCCAAAGGTGCTCTACCTAATTAGCTCTCTTGTTAAGTCTATTGGAAATGTATTTATGGGGCATTCCTCTATGCAATGAAATTGTGAGTCCTGAATAATTGTTTATAGAATTCTAGAGCTAACAACTAGGGGGGAGGGATAGCTCAGTGGTTTGAGCATTGGCCTGCTAAACCTAGGGTTGTGAGTTCAATCCTTGAGGGAGGCCATTTGGGGCAAAAATCTGTCTGGGGATTGGTCCTGTTGGACTAGAACCTCCTGAGGTCCCTTCCAACCCTGATATCCTATGAAGGATTCCAGATTGACAGGCCTAGAAACCAATGGCCTTTAGCCACAATAATGGCACTAACAGAATCATCAGAACAAGCTTCCCTGATACTGTACAGTCAAAGTGCCCCAGTCCTACATCCAAGGGACCAGCTCTAAGGGCCAACAGAGAGTTCAGGGTTCTTTTCGACTTCCAATAAGGAGGCTAGTTATCTTCTGCAGGCACCTGCCCACTAGGAACTCAGCTAACATCACCTATTTGTTTCCCCCAGGCCACCCATTTCTTGGGGCCTGTGGCTTCGACAAAGACAATCTCTTAGTCTGATGCAGACGTTCGCTCCCCTTCTCGCAACACACAATTTCCCTGCTAAACTCCAGCAGCGTCGCTGGTTCCTCCACCTGTCTGCTCAGTTCAGAAACAACTGGGCAGATGTTTCCGACATTTGGAGGGGCACAACATGACTTTCTGTCAGTACGTCTCTTGACTTGGATCCAAGACTGTTTCAACTCTTTTCCCACCCACCCCCACTCTAAAACTCCTGGCTATTACAAACTATTCTTGTTGATGGAGGCTTTTGCCTCCGTAGCTGCTGATCAAATCATGCAGTAGCACAACCAGATGGATATTTGGAAACTTGAAAGGGGCACGATCGATGTCAAAAAACAGGAAATTTGACCTGCCTTGTTGCTTTTTCTACATCTTTTTGCAACATCCTTGGAATGTTTTGGATTTTGAATGTATGTTTTTTGTTTGTTTAGCACTTGATTCAATGCTATGTTGTCTAAAATTAGAGTCCCAGCACCCAGAAAAACATACAGAAAAAACCAGTCAATGGGCACTGCCCAGCCCTCAGGAGAAACCCTACACTAAACAGATCAGCGCTGTTAAGCCTGGCACTCGTTCACAACCTTCCAATAGCGGACAAGCATGTGCACACAATAGGAGAGATGAAAATCGGTAAGGTAGCAAGTTTGAGGTTCACACTTCCAATGGGGAAAGATAGTCTTATGATTAAGGGTACGTCTACACTACCCACCGGATCGGTGGGCAGCGATCGATCCAGCGGGGATCGATTGATCATGTCTAGTCTAGATGCGATCAATCGCTCCCCGAGACCTCTCCCGTCGACTCCTGTACTCCAGCGCCACGAGAGGCGCAAGCAGAGTCGACAGGGGAGCGGCAGCAGTTGACTCACCACGGTGAAGACACCATGGTAAGTTAGGGTGACCAGATGTCCCGATTTTATAGGGACAGTCCCGATTTCTGAGTCTTTTTCTTATATAGGCTCCTATTACCCCCCACCCTGTCCCAATTTTTCACATTTGGTGTCTGGTCACCCTACAGTAAGTCGATCTAAGTATGTCGACTTCAGCGACGTTATTCACGTCGCTGAAGTTGCGTAACTTAGATCGATTCCCGCCCCCCCCCCAGTGTAGACCAGGGCTAAGATATCATCCTGGGACTCAGGAAGTCTGGCTTCAATTCAGTTCTAATTCTATCCGGTAGAGGCCAGTGGTGTACACACACTCAATTTTCATTATAATATAATTATAGTTTGCATGTCTATAGCACCTTTCATCCAAGAACTTCAAAGCACTTTAAAAACATTAATTAAGCTTCAGAAAGTCGCTGTGTGGTAGGTGTTATCTTTATTTTGCTGCTCGAGGAAAGGTGGTGCAGCGAAGCTATCGTTGCACAGGGATACTCTGGCAGAGACTGGAGCAGAACCCAGGAGTCCTGACCCTCATCTAACCAATGGGCTAGACATCCTCCCCAAAGGAGAACTATTTAAGGTGCTTGTTACGGTAGGAAATGGTTTTTAAGACCTTATCACAATAGAAACAGATTCGACACGATATTGTTAAAACCGTTCCCAGTTGAATTCCACATACACCCTCCCCTCTGTGAACCCCAGCTCTGAGATACTGAGCGCTATTGTCACCAACCCAGGCTGCATACCTACAGACATCACAATCACAGAGTGACCACTGCCCCTTTATTTCTATTACTGTACTGTGGTGCCTAGAGGTCTTAACTAAGGCTACAGCCACGTTGTGTTAGTTGCTGTGCAGACACCTAGTGAGAAACGCCCCTGCCCCACAGAGCTTTACCGCCCAAGTTGACAAGCCAAAGACAGAGTGGAAGGGGAAACAGAGGCACAAAGAAGTGGAACTCTCCTGACCGCTCTTCAGAAACAAGCCCCAGCTAACTGTGCTAAAAGGAGCAACCAACTCACTCGTTTATGGCTGAGCAGCCGTGTCTGGGGCCAGGCAGTACAGGAAGACATGATCAGACACACTAAACCAGCATATCAACCAATGATTTCCTGAGCAGGGGCCCTGTGCCCAGAACAGGCTGGCGGGGCCACGTTCCTACACCAAAGACTCACCCTAGCCATCTCCCCCAAAGCCACTCCCTAAGCTTCCCCATCTTACCTTGTCAAGCTTTGCTTCTATCTCCACCACATCCGTTTCCACTTCATCTATGGTCGCCCTGTAATCAGAAGAGCAAAAAGGGGAAATCAGCTGGTTGCCTGAACACGGATGATGGGCAGAGAAACCGAACAGTCCTTGAAAGGCAACGGCCAGAAGAACTCCAAAAGGCAGAAGAGAGAGGTGGAAGTTCACACCGCCCAGTCTGGGGTTTCCTGCGCAGAGGCTGTCGTATAAGCGGAGGATCCACGTTTTGGGAGAATTCCATTCCGAGGATCCTACATTATCTGGGATGGGTTTTGCTCCTGGGCTGATGAAAAATATTGGAGGGAGCGGGGGGAGGAAATTGCTGACAACCCCCCATACGTGTCACTGGCAAGTCGCTGGGCTGTCTTGTGCCAGGGCAATGTACAGCAAAGCCACCACCCGCGGGGTCTTATTCTGATCTCGTTTACACCCATGTAAATCGGGAGCAACTGTTAAGTTACACCAGCATGAATGACATGGCTGGGGTAAACAGGCGCACCGCCCACTAGCAACTAGCATTCACTGTTCCGGCGTAGAGGCCTTGGGAAACTAGACCTGAGGCGGTAATGATTTCTCAAGAACACCCACACGTTGGCTTGCGTCTTCTAAACCCCAGCAAGCCTTTAGCCCAATGTGGGCATATCTTGGTCCTGTTACCATCTCAATCTACTCACTCTCACACACCTCTGAGTGTTACCCTTAGTGCCTTGGCTGTGTCTGGAGGAGAGATCCATTGGGTCTGTTTTCTTTCCAGTTCTTGGGTGCTGGTGACAGTAAGAGGCCAGTAGGATTCTAGCTTCCCCCAACTGTGGGACACATTCCAATGACATCAGCCCAGCCCATTGGCAAAAGACATTTCCAGCTCAAGACCTTTGGGATAAATCCACTTTTCTCTTAGGCAAAACTCCAACTGCAAGAGCAGTAAGGCAGAAACCTTCCCATGGAGAGCAACTTGCTGGGATTGCCTGTCCACAACTGGGCAGCCATTCCCTTCAACAAGCACCTGGAAATGTGGTAAACCTCACTGCAATTTTGTGTCCCAACGCATGCAATCCAGAGTCCATTGCATGAACCCTCTCACGCTTGTGGGTTTGCTGTGTACAGAATGAAGTATTAATGCTCGGCTTTTTAAAAATTTCAGCCATGGGCATGTGCCAAGTATAAGGTCTGTGGAGGAAGGATGTGCCGGTGAAGCACCGATTCATGTGGCTTTAAAACAGCAAAGGACGTTACGCACACAATCCAAAAGGAACCAGGAGAAAACCCCCAGGGCCTCAGTAGATCAGGCAACAAAATCTATTCTCTAAAGGCTCTTGTTGTTTTAAACGGATGAACAGCCGCCCAGGGACACATTTCTAACAACAGGAAGGACAAATAAAAAAAGATTGATAAGGCAAAGTCATAAAATTTGGATCCAGATCCAAACTTCCACCGAGTTTGGGAAGGGAGTTTCGCTCTGATCATAGAGTCACAGAAACATCGGGCTAGAAGGGACCTTGAGAGGTCATGTGATGTTGTGATTCAGCCCATCTCTCTCTCTCTCTCTCAGAGGAAATACAACTAGCAGAGCAAACTCAGCACTTCTCCACATTCACCATTCTTCCAGGGGAAATAAACGAACAGTACCTTCTACAGGTGAACGCAGTCCCCATCTGACACTGCTACAAGTCGGCCAACATCCCGCCGGGTAATCCAAATGGAACAGAGATCGGAGACTCCCTCCCCACAAAGGAAATAAATCAAATAGAAGGCCAGGCGCTGATCTCAAGCATGTCAGTTCTGTCAGGCTTCAGGAGAGAGCACCCTCCCGAACAGCTACCAGAAATCTCCCTTGGAGTGCTGTGAGGAGCCAGATGATTCAGACAACTTACAGTGTAAACCTAATATTCAGTGACAACACCGGCCATGTGACGTAGCATGTGACTGTGTGAACTCTCCTCCTGGCACATTATGCCTGTCCCTATCACAGTCCTGTCACATTACATAATTGGGCCCAATTCTGACAGGTGCTGAGCACCCTCAAATTCTGCTAAAATCCCTGGAAGGTGTGCGTATGCATGGGTACTGATATCCCTATTTTAGAGATCGGGGGCCGAGACACTGAGGGGACATCTACACTGCAAAGAAAAACCCGCAGCAGCGAGTCTCAGAGCCTGGGTCAATTGACTTGGGCTCACCATGTGGGGCTAAAAACCCTGAGCAGGTTTTGACCCACGTGGGAACGGCTACACTGCTGGTTTTAGCCACGCAGCCTGAGTTGGCTGACACAGGCTTGAAGACTCAGCGCTATGTTTTTTCCTTTGCAGTGCAGATATAGCCTTAGCGACTTGCCCAAGGTCACCCAGGAAGTCTGTGGCGGAGCAAGGAACTGAACGCAGTTTCCCAAGTTCCTGGGGAGCACCCTTACCCCTGGACCATCCTTCCTCTCTATTAACCGTAAGAGGAGACTACATGAACCAGTCGAGGTCTGTTGTGCTGTGTCCCTTCCCCCACCCCAGTTAGTTTCTATCCTTTATGACAGCCAACAAAACAGCGTTTATTTATCTCCAAGTCTGAGCTAAGATTTTCAAGGGCCAGGGGAGGGGCAGGATCCCATTTCCCGTTGATTTTTTTAAATAGGGAATTCCCATTGATTTTTACTGGGGGACTGGGTGTATAAATCCCTTAGGCCGCTTGAAAATCCCAACCCTATTTCTTAGCTATCCTGTAAGGTCATTGCAATCCCCAAACCCATCCTCCAAGAGCAAGCAATTTAAAAAATGAATGTTACATAGAAAGTTGCTTTGAAGGAGGGTTCACACCCATTGTATGCCAACACAGTAAGATCTTTGTGGCAAGAACTGTCTTTTTTTTAATGATGGGTACAGGGCCCTGATCCACAATTGGGGCCTCTGGGTGCTACTGACATATATAATTACAATGATGTTATTGCTCAGTGCTGGGAGGGGCAGGGGAGGTCCCATCTGCCATTCCTGGTCTTTCAGGTTATGTGGCTGCTTTGTTGAGTTTCATAGGGGTCATGGGAAGTGGTGGGGCTGTTTCCCTGGGGAGGGAGGGGAAAAACTAGTTTATTTAATGTAATCTCCTCGTAATCAATGTACCAGTGCTTTTAGAAGGGTTTGTGAAAGGTTTTTAATTGCCTTAGGGTATTCAGCGCATGGGGAGTTCACACAGTCATGGGACATACCACATGACCTGTTGTGACTGAATATTAAGTGCATGTTGTCAGACGTCTGAATCACCTGGTTCCTCACGTGCTGAGGGAGGCTTCACCTGGGCTCACTCTGGAGCTCGCTGATTGTAGGGATTTTTCTGTGCAAGACCTCTTGTCTCACCCCCTATTTCCTTTCTTTCTTTCCCCCATTTTTTGCCTTCTTGAGGGGGAGCTAAGGAGACCCACCTGATTTGGGTGCCACATGAGTCAGCAGAATTGCTCTGCAGCTCCCAGCCGCGTCCCAGAATCCAAGATCCCGTCATTGCCTCACAAGGGGCTGAACCGACACCCTGGATCTGAACAGCCTGAGAGTTTGGGGCATTGACGCCCTGGCTCTGAATGCTGAGGCTGTGCTCTGCCCCAGCTTCCACTTCACAAATCTACAAGCAGGAAAATAACATTGCCTCATCTCATCTCTCCAGCAATCTGGGTCCCCCTAGGCATTCTGGGAATGCCTGCCTTTCTTTTCAAGGGGTTTAGGTGCTGACGGAAGGCCCTGCGGTGACAGACTCAGATAAGAGGCTTCTATTCATCACTAGAAGAGGAGCAGCAAAGGCAGCATCAGTGAATGCTTCCCACATCTCCCCCCCTCCCGCCAGTCTGCCTCAGACCTGTTCTGGAAAGACCCCAGCAAGGACTGGGAGTTCATTCTCCAGGCACAATGAGCGGTCAGCTTGCCAGCTGAGGTGCTAGCCGTGGTAGGGCATTTGTACACGGGGTTATTATTTCGATAATGGTAGCACTTAGAGAGCCCCAGATGAGATTGGGGGCCCCGTGTGATAAGCATTGTACTGACACTTGATAAGAGGCAGTCCCTGCCTTGAAGAGTTTACAGTCTAGGCAAGGGAAAAGAGTGGGAGGGGAAAGAGGGGCACAGAGAGTGGAAGTGACTTGACCGAGGTCACACTGTAGGCCAGTGGCAATAGAATCCAGCTTTCCTGACTAAGTGCCCTACTCACTGAGCAATACTACCTCCCTATGAAGTTGCTCAGAATGGGGCTGAGACCGTCAGCTTGGTCACATAGGCCACTAAAGGGCTAGCATATAGTAATGACTTTTTCAGTCTCCTCTGACCGGGGTTGGATTTGAACTAGCATCTCAGAGGGTCCTGCTATGCTCTGTGTTAAGCTTGCTAAATACCCAGTGAGAATTCCCCTTCTGGTCTGGGGGGTGTCCAAATCTCACTGTTTCTTCCTTCGCAACATTTCTAAGATGCAACCTTCACTCTCTGTTCTCACCTCTCATCTCCTCCCTTCTTGCTTATGGGAACACTCTCCTCTCCAGGCCTCCTTCACACCCACATTGCTCCCGCGCCAGTCGATACAAAATACAGCCGCCAAAATCATTTGCCTCGTCCATCCTTCTGTTCACATCACCCCTTTCTTTGAAGCCCTCCAGTCACTCCCCCGTTGCTATTGCATCCAACTTCTCGGGCCTTGGATCGGTCGGACCCTCCCTGCTTTGACCCCTTCTCTCCCCAGCCCTTGAACCATTCCAATGCAGAGGGCAAGCTGGAAAACGTTGGATTACGTGACTTGAGAATTTAGGGTGGAGCCAGGAAATGAACCCAGGAGTCCTGGGGCCCAATTTTCAATTGGTTTAAATCAGCGTAGCACAACTGTCTTTAAAAAAAACTCAGAGTGGAATCAATGAAGCAGCTTACACACCTAACATCTACTTAGGCTCTGAACGTCCACTGAAATCAACAGAACTAAGGAATCCTCTGGTTGTGTAAATTAATGCAGCTCTACCAGCTTCAGCAGAGCTATGTCCCCTCTACGCCAGCTGATAATACAGTCCTTGATTTCTAACCACCTCTT